GGCAAACGATTAGTGGTGGATTAGGAAAATAAATCATATAAAGTAGCATAGACGCTGGGCAGCTTTTTGCAAGACGACATAGAGATGGCGCTTTCTTGTGGTACAAAGTGTATCAAATACCTCCTCTTCATATTTAATGCACTGGTTTTCGTAAGTTCTGTTTTCATCATAGTTTATAATTTTAATAAAATGCTTGCTCAATTTCAAGATTTTCAAGGAAAATACTGCAACTAAGTTGGCTGTGCATAAATGTTTCTTACCAAAAAAATAATCCAACTTTATGTTCACTGTGAGTATCAGTGGGAACAAAGGGAAAACTAAAAAACCCAATAAGACCTAGCCTTTGTCTTAACTTATACAAAATCAACAGCTTCTAAAGTAGCTGCCTACCGTAGAATATAGATCTCATTACCGAGGTGGACGAATAGTCATAATTCCCAAATGTATCCTCATTAATGTACTTCATTTACTTCAACTGCAACATAACAGGTTAAACCTGAAATGGTATCCACACAAGGTGATTGTTCATTGAATATACTATACAGATATCTTCCCGTTAACCATATGTGAATGTTAAGTCATCACTGATGTTGTAACGTGTTTATCTTAATACACAGGTGAGAGTTATGTAGAAGTTGCTACGCCTGATACGAATTTTTGAATACTGCACAAAATAAGTGGTTTGTGCAGTTCAGCCACGCCCAGCGCCTTTAAGGTTTGACAGACAGAAATATATTTGTTGGCCTTTGTAAACCAAAAGTTATATGGCACGAATGCGTTTGTGGAAGCGGACACCGATCTTGTATCATTGCCCTTCCCATACCAACCGTTGACAAACAAGGACGCATTATCCCTCATATGTAAATATCTCAATGTGGCCCTGCCATGAAAATTCCACGAAACTAGAGGGACTTTGGGGACTGTGGGTGTTGGCTGTTTGCCAATGAAAGGATTATCTGAAGACAAATAATTAATAATTACATTTAACATTCAAACAAGTAGATAGAGATACCTAGCCATGGTGGCCAATGAACGGCGGAAAAATAAAATTGTCTTCATTCCAACACATTTATTTATATGTATGTGTGACATTTATTATGCGGCATATATCCGGGATGTGATTAAGCCTCATTATTATCTACCTTTAGTAATGCCTTAGCAGTTTATGTTGTGCAGCTTTCGTGAAACTAAGAGTGCAAAATTTGAGCCCTGATTAAATCTCCCAGACAATACGAAACTAATTTGCTGAGTATATCTTCATTACAGCTCTTCGGTGCCGTCATTACTGGATTTGGTATCTACTTTGTTGTGGAGGCAACGAAAAATATTGGTGGTCAAGCAGTTGGCATTCCAGCCTTCATCCTAACGCTGGGCCTGCTTGTTTTTATAATCGGATTTTTGGGCTGCTGTGGAGCCTGCAAGGAGCACGTCTGCATGCTTAAAACCGTAGTGTTTTTTTGCAAAAACTCTCACGTATCTTGTTTAGTTTGCAGCAATTATTATCATTCTGTTCATACTCCAAATTATTGCTGGCATATTAGTCTTTGTGTACAGAAAGAAGGTAAGAATTATTAATATTTCGAAAACATAATCAAATCTCTTCCCCCCCCCTCGAACATAAAATAGTTTGTTACGGTGATGGCTGATGGCATTGCCGACCAGATTAAGCATCTGAACACACTTCCTCCAGAGGAGAGGAAGGAAACGCGAAAGGCGTTAGATGAGCTCCAAGAAAAGGTAGGCTGGTACATCATTCCCGCATTTATGATATATAGCTGAAATGTTGTGGAGGCCACAGTGCAGCTGATTGGAAGAATGTTCCCGCTTCCTGCTGCAAAAACGGAAAGGCGAACTGCCCAGATCCCTACCCACAGGTGAGCCAAGAACAAAATCTCTGTATTCTTTATGCGTCTATGGTACTCAACTAACATGTTTTGCAATGCGTAAGTATTCACATGTGGTCGAATTTGACTATTTTAATGCTTATTAGTAATAATTTAGTGTGCGTAGCTTGGGTTATTCAAGAAAATAAGGAATACTGTACATAAAGCAAACAACGATATTAGTTTTCTGTTAGAGCTTTCCTTCTTATATAATTTGGAAACGTCGCTAATAGCAGCGCAATGTGAACTGTAGGTTGCAGAAAAACGTTGGATTCACAGTTATGTTGTTTCCTTAATCAAATCTTACTTTCGGTTTTATATTCTTATGCTCTTTGTGGAACACATGCTTTCACCTACCTGTTTCCAATAGGGTTGCGCAAAAGCCATGTATGAAGAAATAAAGAACAAAGCCTTAGCCGTGGGAATTGTCATCTTTGTCATGGCCATAATCCAACTTGGAGCAATCATTTCAGCCTGCTGCCTGGCCAAAAAGATTGGCGAATATGAAAAGGTCTAGGGACGATCGTCACCATCGATGGGGATTGAAAAAACTCCACATGTTCGGGAGCACAATGTTAACAAAAGTATATCCACTGCAAAGTCACGCATGAATGTTCTGCTAGTCTTGCTGAACATAACGCTGTTTTTTGTTATGTCTTGCCATTCTTTTTAACTGGTTCTTAAACATGCTTTCCATTTCACCTAAAAATACAATGTCATGGACGTTACTTTTTACGTATCATTATCCTGCAACAGTCAGCTCATGTCTACAACATATATCTAAAAGACATACCTTAAGCGAATTGGGGAGGGAATAGTTCGTTATACTACTCCAAATTTGAGGATCTCTATAAAGCATAAGTGCTTCGGGCGGGATTGTGCAGAGCAATATGCTTAAAGCAGCACTCAGAAGCTCAACGACAATGCTGCTCTCATTTAACTTATCTTACCTTGGTTATGCCAGCAGCAGTCGTACAGACATGTTTGACGTAATCATACCCCCTAAGGATGGATAAGTGAAGTAAGTTGCATTCCGAGATGATATGATGAAAAGAAAGAA